ATTATCATCATGCTAGTCTTTCTTCGTTTTCATAGTAAATGAAATAAAAGAAAGTTATGAGTTCTATTGAAACAAGAAAAAAGAAACGTATTTAGACTAGATCTAAAAGTGTTCTATTACTACTGGTATACACTTATCGAATCATTAACAAAGAAATTCTTGAACAATATTCATCATCATTTTGTTACTTTTAGAACTTAAATACATATGAATTTATTGATGCTTGAGGGTACAGTTTTTATTTTAGAAAGAAAAAGTTCAAAAGACATAATTGAAAAAAAACAATAGAGAACCATATGGAATTACGATCTGTAATACATGAGAATAATACTTATCGTTCTCTACAGAGAACAAAACAATGGAATATCAAGAAAAATATCGACTACACGATAATTCCATTCATAGAATCTTTCTTCTTTTTCTTTTTTTTTTTTTTTTGCTCGCCGTTTTTTTTTATATATATATGTCTCGTTTGTACACGGTAATACCACATATATAAACATACTAAAAGAAAGAACAACTAGCAAATACAGATATACACAATCAGTTTTTTCTATTATTATAATGGAAACAAATATACTCAATGAAGATATAAATAATAATAGAAATGAAACAGATTCTAGGTAAGAAAGTAATCATTTTTCTTTTCTTTTCTTTTTGAAGCATCGAATATAACCCTGTTTTAGTATCGATTTACTTTCTTGATAAATCCATATCATGTTATCGATCAGTTTTCACATTCATTCTTCTATTAAAGAACATACATGAATAAGAGTATCATATATATATATATATAATGACTATCCCATTAATAATACAATAACATTATCTATAATTTAGTTTAATAATTGGTGATTTTTATGATTCTTTAATTTTAAAAATGACATTTTCATTGATCTAGGACAATAAACTTCATAAAATGTTACTAGATCTATTGAGTTATAAAGATTATCATCAAAGAAAGAAAGCTGCGATTGACTTTTTGTATTTTTATATTGCCGAAATTCTAAATAATTTATTATTTATTTGACCATTATTGAATGATTTCTTTTTTTTTCTCTTGCTCCTGTAATTGAAAATTGTTTCCGGTTAAAGACTACCGTTCAGTTGCAGTTACTTTAGGGTATATTAAGCTTTTTCTAGATGTGACAAGTGATCGAGCCGTTCCGTCGTTTCGATCGATTTCTTTTTCTCTTCTTTTTTTTTACCAATCGATTTCCGGTTTCTTTTTTTTTTTTTTTTACTGCATTTAAAAATGTTTTTTCTTTCCAATACGGTTTTTTTGTGACGGAAGAAGTAGTAGAGTGTCGAAGAAAAAAAAAAAAAAAGAAGAAAAACTTTCTATCGTTTTTCTTTCTTCTCTTATTCATTGAAGATGAAACAAAAGTGAGCAACTGCACTTTATTTTGTTCTACTCGTATTACACCTATTTTAATTGATATGATGATTCGATTACGGTTCTAGCAGCAAACAAACGATCAATACTATTACAAATATTTAGTATCATCCTCGGTTTTTTTTCAAATAATTATTAATCATTTATTTATATTGATTGTTAAGGTGAAGAGGTATATAGAACAAAAAGAAAATAGCAGAAGCTTCTATTTCGTAGATCACTATCAATTCGTTACATTATATATTGTCTGTTGTTATAGTCATTGTTACACGATGAAAAGTTCTACCGATGAACTAAATGAAGTAAGTAAAGCAAGTAGAATTTACATAAAACAATATATTCGAATCACATTTTACACATGATTAGCACGTAACCCTTAAAAGCACCTTTTTTTTTAGTGAATGAAGCTTTTGCACTAGCATCACCATATACACAATAAACACTTGAAATTTAAAAAAAAACAACAATAATCTTATATTAGAGCTTCTGTTAAGAAAATCAAAAGGTATTTTCGTTCGAAAAATTTTTCACTTGCCTTTCACTGCTTTGTTTTTGTTTGTTGTGCACTTCAACAATAAGACAAAAAAATCTGGTAAATATCATTTTTATCTTTAGATTGAGACAAATACTCCCTCGGTAATGATTAAGATAAATAAGCATTAACAGATTGTTTGTTATCAAAGATCTCCCCCTCAAAAAAAAAGAAGAAGATTATCTATTACTTACAGACTAGAATCTATTGATACTATATAGAAATTAAAAAATTTTAATTGAGTAATATTTGTACCTTTCAAAGGTATTTAGTTACGGTATTATGAAAAGACTTTTCGTTAAATGTCGCTTTTTATATTGAAGGTTTTAAAATTGACTTAATCTTGTCATATAACATGATCTATGATACAATAACTATCAATTTTGATTATACTTTCATTTTTACAATTTGAAAATAGTATCATTTTCTATATATATATATATAAATTTATTGTATATCTCTATTCTTTGTTCTCAAGTATTGATCCATGAAATTCAATTAGTTCGAACGAAGACTTCTACATTATTGTTATTATTCTTTTTTTTGCCGTAAAAGCCTTTTGAAGTATGTGTATATACATGAAAATGTCATTGTGATTGTCTTCAAAGTGAGAGGTGAATCTTATTAAAACAATAGTAAATATATAACTTACTCTTTTTTAAATATATATATAAAAGAAAAAAAAATGATCTCAATGGTTTTTTTCTAAAACTAATCAACTAAATGAAAAGAATATGTATATCGATATATCTGACGTGCATATGCAAGTTAGATCAACATTTATTTTTATTTTCATTATTATCAACTGTATAAACAATATATATATATTTTTTTTTTCATCTGTTTCGTTTTTTCCCTCGCTCTCTCTTTTTTTTTGTCGTCGCTACTTGTCTTCACCCTCCGCATCATTGCTCTTCATTTCTTTTGTTAATAAGAACTGTTCACTTCAAGTGTGTCACTCACTTCCTTTTCTTTTTCGCTGTCTTTCACGCTACTGATCAAAAGCATAACGAAATTTTTTCTTTTTTCATCATCTTCTTGATTGTCATATACATGCACATATAAAAATCATACGAGAGCAAGGAGATGACACATGACAAATTTGTTAAACATGGTAGTATAACTACTAATATCAGCAAAAAAATGCGTCATTTAAATAGTGAGAAAATGCATTTGGTATATCGACGACCGGTATGTATATGTGTGTGTGTGTGTGCGCGCGGCTGTTGAAATAAATAAGAAACAATTGATTGTTGTGAATATTTTCAATAATCTATTATTTATTATAGGTTCGAACTTTATTTGTATCAGGTTTACCAATGGATGCTAAACCACGAGAACTTTATCTTCTATTTCGAGGATTTAAAGTAAGTAAGCTTTTAATATTTAATATAGAGATAATGACATATTATAATCATTAGAGAATAGTTTGTTGAATGATTAAATAGATAATTGAATACGACAAGTATAGCTTTAGTTGTATTATTTTTTTTTGATTTCTAGGGTTATGAAGGAAGTCTACTTAAAGTAACAAATAAAAATGGTAAAAATTTATCACCTGTTGGATTTGTTACATTTGCTAATCGTGTTGATGCTGAAACAGCTAAACAAGAACTTACAGTAAAATATTTTAAATATGAAAATAAAAAAACAAGAAAGCTATGAATTATTTATATTATATATTAGGGAGTTCGATTTGATCCTGATCTTCCAGCAACACTTCGACTTGAATTTGCTAAATCAAATACTAAAGTACAAAAACCTAAACATCCAACTCAAAATACATTAACAACTGCAACTCAACAATTTATTCAAATTCCTCGTAAGTTTTTCATTTTTTCGATAGAAGATATTTAAATTCAAAACAAAAAAACAAATTCTTTATTTAGAAGAACTTGGTGCCGCATTTTTTCCAACTGACACATGGGGTCAACCATTAGCTTTTGATTTAGCTTCAGCTGGTCTTCATCATCCAGCATTATTACATACAGCTTTGCATGGACCACCCATGGTAAGTTTTTTCTTTTCTCATCAATCTTGAACAACAAAAAAACAAAGTAAAGCATTGTATTATTTAAGTTCTTGAGATCATAGTCATATGTAGTGTAAGTATCGATATTAGCTAAATTCGTCACAACAACCACTACCACATATTGTGTCAAATGGACACAACAATTGTTTTTTTTTTTCTTCATATCTTTTTATATATATGAACAATAATATCTATTCATATACACTACTAAGAGCATCAAAAAATTATTTTTTCACCCACTATCATGCGTGAAAAAAAGATATTGTCTTCGATTACAAAAGCTCGCGCATACATAAAATTACTCACAATTTTGCTTGGTACACTATTTTATGACATACAAATTTATGTTTTATATATTTGATATGGTTATATAATTAAATTGTTTTTTTTTTTATGTATAGGGTTTGGGTCATCCAATGCCAGGCACAACAGGTATGACCCAAATACAACAATCAAATCAAGCTGTTGCTGTTGCTAATGGACAATTAAATGGTGGATGTTCAACATTATTTTTAACTGGAATTCCCGAGCATGACTTTAAGAATATGTCATTTGCTTTGTAAGTTTTTATAATTATAAAAATAATTGAATAGGAAAAAAAAACGTAATTTTCTTTTTTTAAAGACCAGGCAAAGCTCTTTGACAATCAGCATGTGATTCGCATGATGATTCTTCATCAATAAATGATAAACAAAAAGTTCTTTCTACTCTTAATAATCAACAACAAATATTATCAAAACGATCAATTGATGAAAATATGAATAATAATCATCATATGAAACGTCTACGACAGTGATAATATAGGAATCTCATGTTGAATCACAAACGCTGTCCTTTTTTTTCTTTCTATCTATCTTTCTCGTTTTTTTCTTTTGTATAGTGTATGTAAGGCAACATTTATTGATCTATGTATTTTGTTTTGGTTTTTACTTATTCTCCGTCCATTTGCGAGCTGCATTTTTTTTTTGTTGAGACGTTTTTGTTTGATTTTGTAAAAGAAAAAAAAACAAAGAGAATATGAAAGAAAAACGAAATATTTTTTATTTCATTGAATGTTCCGATGATGCAGGATAAAATTGTGTTGTTAATATACTTGGACGATTTGTTGGTGTAAAAAAATAAGTTAAATAAGGATTTTGTCTTTCATCACATGTTGAAAGTTCATTAAGACTTGGTTCTGTACGATGTCGTGTAAGCATATTAATTTGATTTGTAAATGATAATAAATCATCTGCTATGGGATTGCTTGTAGTAGAATCTTGATGTATTATTGGTAAAGGTTTTTTTGTATGACGTCGAAAATATTTTCGAATCAATAATTTACGTATAGACCATGGCATTTGTTCATGTGTTTTCGATTGATTAGCAAGAGCTTTCCATCGTTCCAGTGTTTGTTGATCAAGTGATGAACGACGTCGAAGTGTTGATGGTTCTTGGATAGTTGATAATTGTGTAGGTATTTGTCGAGAATATGAATGACTTCGATAATAGAACTTTTCTTTTCCGGCTAAAAGTAATGTTTCATCAGTTGAACGATGAACACCTTTTATAGTTGCTAATCGTTTTTCCATATTACGAATACGAGCTGTTTCAGTATTTAATTTATCTCTTATATGATCTTTTGTACCCAAATAAATTTCCCAAAGTCGAGCTCGTTTTTCTTTATCGACTAATTCTTCTAAATTAATAAAAATTTCATTTTTTTTGAAATTCAAATCTCGATGATGAACCATAAATAGTACTACGACGAGAAAAATGAAGTATTTTCACGTTGGTTGGTTCACAATAGGTGTTTATTCAAAGTTTTTTCTCATATGGATAAGAAAATCCAATTCACCTGTGTATCAAGTACGACAAATGTATATTTAGTGTTTCATAGTTAATTTTCAGTTATCATCTCAACGAGTAATAAGAATAAATCAGAGCCAATTCTCAAAACTGAATAGTCTAAAAGTCGACAAGGATAAAATTTCGAAGTTTCAAACATGAGACATTGGCTTTTGCAAGAAAGTTGGCGCACTCTGCATTATATAATAGATCCGAATGATTTATGAATACTCTGAAAACAATTCTTGCTCTAAACGTATTAATGAATGCAGTGGTGACAGAAAAAATGATTTTCGAATTTTGACTTGAAATGTTACACACAGAGTCTGATCATAACAAGAATAGTGTATTATGAAAGCTTCAGATCTTTTCATATGTTTCTGTCGCCAAATAAGTACATCAAATCTGCTGGTTTATACGTGTAATGTAACAGGCATGCTATTGACATAATTGTATAGTTTCTATTATCATGACATTCATCAATTTATCTAAGGCAACAATGTCTTTTTAGGATGTTTATAATTCATTTGGAGCTACAAAATCCACATTGTCTCAAATCGAAAACGATTGAACATTTAGACAACTTTCATCGTTAGACGATAAGAGAAAATTATCCATGAAACGCTTTATCCCTGGTCAATAATTTCAGCAAGTTTCACAGGAGAGACACGTTTTCTGGTCGGAAAACGCGGAAAATGGTAGGAACTTGAAAGCATGAATTTTATTATGAAATCTGGTGGTCGAGTTTTTCTAGTTTCAATCGTCACTGAGCAGAGCCTACTATCGGATTCTTGCTTCCAAGTTCTTACCATGTTCCCAAGTATTCCAACTAACCGCGGCGCAGAATTTCTTGATCTAGAATTTGCATTTTTTTTACTTGCCAATAAGTGAAAGCCTATAATATGCCTCGACAGTGGCATTTGTTTACATTAAATGTTATGGAAAAGAACACTTTATATAAGCTGGTATTACTAAGTAAAAAGTCAGCCTATCGGAGCGAATCACAGTGGAGATTCTTCATTCTTCAATCTTTATCATCGTGTTATTTATGATCCAACCTATTGAGTTAAAAGTATTGCATTAGTATTTGATATATACAAATTACCACATTAAGCACTTTAAAACTCTATAAGAAAATTTGAAATTTCTAATAGAGAGCTCTATGTTAATTCATAGAACTTTGCTGCATCATAACAACTGAATCTTTGTACTAATGAATACATGCAATGTTATTATGTATTCCAAAAATTTAATAAAATGGTAAATAGAAATCTAATAAACTTGCCTAATATTTCCTTAGTATTTGTATGATCTCGTAAGTTTCGAATAAGTAATTTCGTTCGTCGTCTTGCTGATTCTTCAGTAATTTCAGAGCGTGCTTTCATTTGCATTGCTAACATAAATATAATACCAATTGAATACCAAAGAAGAACAGTTACAATATATATCATAGCACCACTATCATCATAATTACTTCCTATTGTTTCATCTTTTGCAGTACTATTTTGAATCATACTTAAATTTCAAATAAAATATATTTTATGTATGGTACAAAATAAATGTCAAAAGTTGATCAAGAATACATAGACATACCTGTACCGGTTTTTTTTTGTATGAAATGATAAATGAAGAATGTTTATTTAGAGCGAGATACAAGTGTATTATATTTACATATGTATTTAAATAAGAAAAACATTCATTCTTGATCTTTTCAATATGATTTACAAAATAAGAATCGAACGCATATGATTAATGGCAATATCACCTTTTTTTTCACATGGTGTGTAAAACACAATGAAAATAACTATTAATAAGAAAAACGATGTTCTATATGAGAAAAATGGCATATGACAATAAAAAAGAAATCGAGGTATTGATCGAGACTAATAAAAATACAAGTATGTTTTCTTTATATTGAAAATATTTCAAAATAACAGATAAGAAATACGATGTTATGTAGTTCTAATGTTGAAATGATTTTTTGATCGATGATGGATAAAAGGATTAAAATCTAACCGTTAATTTAAATGAAAAATACACATATTCTATCAGTTAGAAGATAAAATGTTTCATCGAAGTACTAATTTGAAATTATATTTCTGGAGGCTGGTAAAACAATGAATGACTCATTTCGATGAGACTTAAAAATACAGAATGTTAATTGCAGATATGACCTATGTAACAAAACTTGTATTTATCTTCATGAACTCATATATTCAATTTTAATCAAGATCTTGAACATTATCATTTTCTGTTATATTTCACATATGCTCTTCTTTTCTACTGAGTTCCTACTGCTTTAGTATGACAACTAAATTATGCATAAATTTATTGATTTCTGAAAACCAAAAGAGATTTATATTTATTCATATATCGCTGGAGTCTATTTTTAATGAAGTTTCAATATGATATAAAATTTATTTTTAAACTCTATTTGCAGATATAGTGCTACAGAATCAAATTTTTTGACTCCAAAAATTGTTTCAGACTAGTATTTAATACTTCTTTTTGTGCTATTTGCTAATGAAAATGTGTCTAGGATGCTTGTTTTTTCTTGAAAGTTCTTAATGAATCTATAAAATTAGCGTAGTCTTGTTCATTACTTAAGACAGACTTCGTCAAAATTTCGATCGTTGACAAAAAAGCTCGAGAAGTCATAGTGTGTATATACAAAAACCAACATATCAGAATCAAATGCCAATATGATTATGAAGAGATAAAGAGCACTAGTGAATCATCCTCATTGAATCTATCAAAATTGACGATTTTTTCTGAGTTTTCTTTTTCATCTTATATCTTTATCAAACCTACTGGATTCTATTTAAGATCTAATCTGGTCGTCTCTGATATTAGACATAAAACTCAAAAGAGCCGTATCATTCGTATGTACTAGGAAGATGAGAACGCATTCGAAAAGCACGTTTCAAACTGCAACGCTTAGTATTCAAATCAAATGGAAAGAAACACAGTGCGGGGCTGAGCAATTTTTAAAACAAATGTGATTATTATACTTTTTTTTTAGTTAAAGAACATATCCTCATACTTTAAAAAAATTTCTTTATTTTGACTAAACCAACCGATATCAAAGCCGAAGTTCTGTGTCAGATTCGTGTTCCGTCTTTGTGATGATTTGCAAGTCGTTTTGTAGAAATGTTGAAGAGCTACACAATAATGTATTTGATATAGGATTTTGACTCCTCAATAATAGCAATTAAAGTTACCTTATGAGAGATACTATGTAGAGATCTTATTACTCATAGGTACTCTCTACTGAAATATCTAGAACGAGTGATTAGATAACATCGAAGCATTATAACAATAAAGTGAGATAACGTCTCATATGCTTCCAATAGTAATAAAAGTATCACATTATTAATAACAGTAAATATGTTAATACTGTAGCATAGAAACTTTAGTTTAATAAAATCTTAAGGTTGAGATTTTGAAATGTACATTAAACGATAAATCTCCGCAAGATCTATCAAATGGTCCAGAAATATATAAGCAAAGAAATATGCAAATAAGCTTTTGTCTAGAAATATCAGTGAGATTCTCATGTAAATGATGGCTAATTTAGATGCTGGCATTATTTGTCAAATAACACTAATGATCCTAGACAATAAAAGTACGTATATACTTTTTTGTAGACATGCTGACAATAATTATCAAATACTTTGAAATATTCTATATGTTAATATTGTAAAACAGGAGTTTTCATTCTATGATACATAATGATTTTCTATCGATTATATACTGCACGATAAATATCATCGATAAGTATCCAATGAAATCAATATGTCTGCTCTAAAATTTGGAAAAACATGTCTTTTACTCAATTTACTAATAAAATCTTGATATAATGAATAGCTGACACTGATTGTAAGTGATTTATATGGCAGTCATTGTTTTTTTTGACATCGAGTGAAAAGTAATCGAATAACATTACAACAATAGAAATATAAAGTGGAAAGATGTATATGTTCAACGAAACTTTTTTTTTAACATGTAAGAAAAATAGAACTCAATTCTATTACAAACAGAAAAATACTCCTATTGAATATAAAGTTTATCGAATGCACGCTTTCAAGATCATTTAAATGTGTTCTACAAATGGTATGCTTCCAAAAATAGAGTCATGTGAAGGCTGTTTTATATCGTTTGTAGCTGTGAAAAGCTTTAATTCTATATTTTCGTTACATCTGTATCAAAAACCATGTTGTGATTTTTCATAAACGATAAAGAAAGAAAAAATTACATCGATGACATTAAATAAAATTTTATCGAAACTAATTGAATATCCAAAGAAGAATTGGTGTCGTTGCAAATTAATCTCTTGATTAACAGGCATTTATAATAGTGCTTCATACTATGTTCGATCAAGGTTTTAATCTAGTTAAATTGAATACTCAGTTAGATCAAGTCATCATTTGAATTGTCATCAATGTCGTTAATGAGAATATATTACAACGCTTTTTTCGGATTACTTTTCAAGAAATAACAGATATGATAATATACTACCAATAGCTGCCTATTTTTTACTTTATTTTGTTTATCTTAATTGCTTCATTCTGATGCTTTAAAATTACTGTTGCATGTTCAATAGTAATGATTAAATAAAAATTCTTATGACTAATGTCGGCACGATACTTAAAGGTACTCAGTTAAAAATTGATCAAGTCGATAATGCAACTAGCTAGCGATCTGTAATTTTCAGCAATCGAAAGAGAAAACATAGGAATGTCTTTTTCCTCGATAACATATAGAAAAAAGTTATCTTGAAATCAATGATTCTGCAAAACATTCAGAAAAATGGTATGAAAATGGTCTGTTCTTTCAGTGAAATTTGCTTGAAAATGAACGAAACTCTATATTACGTGATCGCACAGATATGAAATTTTATTGTGCTCACCATTAGGATATGACAAGATAATCATTCAAATTGTTTTTTTGAATTATGAATCTCATGTTCCTATGTCTAAGCAGTTATTCATAGTTCATAAAGTTTATTACAAAAAAGTGTTTTATTCATTTGTTCTATTCAATATATTCTTCGTGTAATTTCAAAAGTCACGCTATAAATAATTACTGTGGCAACCAATGGGAGATAAACAATGTAAAAAAATCATTAAAAAAACCATATATACATATAATAAATTGCACGGTCAGTTACATTTACTCAGAAATTTCAAGTTAAAAGAAGATGATAATTTGGTGCTGTTTCATTTTGAATGATGAATTCTATCAAACAATTCACCAAGAAGATCTGGCACGATATTTATAAAAATTCATGTAGGATTTTCTTTGAGTATTAAACTACTAATTTTATCTTACATTGAGTTTTTGCTTATTTATTTTATTCAAAAAAAATCATTTATTCTCACCCAATGGTGTGTAAATATTTTTACCGCATGAATGAGCCGAGCATAATTAGACACATTTTAATTTTTTTCGTTCTACTTGATTGATCTTAATATAGATATAAAGTAATAACGAAAACATAGTTCCATTATCGACTATTACATATCGTATCATTTGAAGATAAATGGATGAACGTCTTTTGTCGGAGATGCATGCAATGCAACCTGAATTAGTTGCAATACGTCATGATATTCATGCACATCCAGAATTAGCTATGCAAGAAGTACGTACATCAGCACTTGTCGCTGCAAAACTCAAAGAATATGGACTTACTGTTACTGAACAAGTTGGTCGTTATGGTGTCATTGGTACA